ACCGATCAGTATGCACTCATTGTAAGGATTTTAGGATTCAGATGAGTTAACTTAAATAACACTTATTTAATTTTTTGTTTTATTAGAAAATGTAGCATATAATTTCATAATTTTAATTCCCATACCATTTTTCTGCCAAATTCGAAACATAAAAACCTTCTGAATCCCATCCTTTTTATTTATATAAATCGGCCAAATTAATTATGATCATTTAATATTTGTAATTAATAAGAAACTATCCATAAAATACGTCATTCTGAATTTCACCTTTCTGGATCCCTCCCCCCCTTTCGTCACGCTAAGTAGTCACACTTTCAGCGACCCCCTAATAAGTATTACGTCACAAAAAGCTAGCCCACCCCTCCTATAAACGTTTTCTTGTGAGTAAGAATACATACTTCTTATGATTGAGAATACATACAAGTGTATACAATCTGAAACATTAATTTTCGATTATCCATATATGTTTATTTACAGGCTTTTAACTACTTAAGAATAAAAGACTCACCCAAATTACCACCATAAATTGTTTATTGCGGACACGTGTTTCACCCACTTCTTAATGTAGGCATTATCAACATGCGCTTAGTCACATAAGAAGTAGATGAAACACGTGTCAGCAATAATTAATTTATAGTAGTAATTTGGGTTAGTCTCTTTTTCATATTTTTTTACTTAGTCATTTACCACAGTCACAAACTCCTACTTTAACTTGAGAATGACTTTCTATCGTAATGAAAAATTTTAAGAACCGTCAAGAAAAAAAATTATAAATAAAATTTGGTCTGTAATTGCCGAAATTAACTTCGTTTTCTTTTTATTTGGATACGAATACAGACGAGATTAGCTTCTTAACACACAAAAAAAAATTAAAATAAAATTGATGAACTGCAAACATCACGTTTCCTTAGACCGCCCCCCTTCCCCTTGCAATATCTCGTCACGATAAGCAATACCCCTCCCTTCTCCCTATTTGTGAACGTATTTTATGAACGGCCCTTAAAATAAATATAGGTAAATATAAATTCATAAAGCAACCGTCCCAAGAAAGTTATAATTAGGGCTGGGCGATTGTTAAATTTAATAATCAATTGTATGAAATTAATCGAAACAATTGATTATTTGGGTTAATCAATTAAAATAATTGATTAAGTCAACCGGAAAAACTGAATTGTTTAATCAAATTGTTTAATAGGAAAATTATCACTTAAAGATAATACCGTAGTATTAGTATTAGTGCAAGGTTAATCGCAAACTTTGTTTTAAAGCAAACATAAAGCTGTTCTAGAATTGTAGAAATATAAGTAAACAGTTTGATAAAATAAAAATAGTAGCAATAAAGACTATGTTTTTAAAGGTTGCAATTGCAATTATTATAATCAGTATCATTTGCGATTATCGATTATTTTAGTAATTAGATAATTTGCCCAGTCGTAATTATAATTATCCATATCTCCTATGCGTATATTCTAGAATAATTGTGGAATTACTGGAGCAGTAAAATACCCTAAAAGTTGGATGTGGAAATGAAATAGCATCGAAAAGGGCCAATATTAGTACCAAATTCATAGTTCTCATGGTCACTGATACAGACAGTAACACAATAAATACCTGGACAATATTGAGTAATCCGTTAGTATAGTAAACGATACAACAAACCAAAAAGTCTTGCACCAATTTCGTAGCTAAACGAATATAAGCGAGGAATAAATTCGAACAAGTTTATATTTTTCTAAACAAATAAATTTTTACTATATAGTACAGTTATTACATATAATTTAATAAAATTCTGATCAATTCAATTAGTAATATTCAAATGGAAGTATTCAACTGGTCTTTGGGCAGACGGGCCTATGGCGGTGATGATAACATTATCGATTAAAGTTTACTAAGTATAAAATATATTAGATGTAGTAGAAAAGAAAAAAATCACTCTAAGTTGTCAATTGGAATCTATTGCCACTCACATTAAAATAAATAAGATATAAAAATATTAAAAATCAACTAACAGGAAATGATACGTGTGCATCAATGGAATATTTCTTTTAAATACTTAAATAATAACACATAAGACGTTTTACTAGCTTCCTTAAAAGTATCGTGAAGTTCCAAAGCCCTTTCATTAAATACCGAAAGAAAGATTAATATTATTACGAGTCGTCACTAATCAATTATATTTCCACAAAACTATAAAAATCAATGGCGAAATTGTGACAAGTTAAAAATAAAGATACAGTAAAGGCTCTTTATTCGCGGGGTATACGTTCCATACATATGCCGTGATATGGGAATGGTAATTAGTATGGAATCATACGTTCTAAGGTTCCAAAATAAAACCAACATGTATCAAAATAAAATCAATGTATTGATAAATTCGCAATTAAAATCAATCGTTATAATCAGCTTTAGGCGAGAGTTTAAAAATTGTAGTGATTTTTTCTTGTTTTGAATTTTGAAATTAGTCCACTCGGTTACATCTATTATAAAAGTCGCCTCGGCACGAGCCAATAGTACTCAAAAGATGCTGATACGTTGAAAAATAACACCGAATCCTTGTTTACTCAAAAGATGCCGATAGGTTAAGGGGATTCAGTGGTACAAGCGCCATAGAGTAACATGCTTATCGGTTCTAGATGTCATGAGTTTAATATTTGGAACAGAGGTTTGAAATTTTGTAGTAAGATAGATAAAGCTTTGTTCTATAGCTTGTCGAAAGGCATTTTTTAATTTTTTAATTTCTATTGAAAATACGTGTCTTACAAGAAGCATCAACTTTAAGCACTTGTAAAAGCTTTTAATGACCATATTATTGAAAACTAAAAACGTACCGAGTTAGTGTGAACCTTTGTTTGTTACCATAAAAAAAATTAGATATTTATCTCGCTGTGTTAAATTTTCCGAAAAATTCACACTAGGCACGAGCAGTCTATTGCGGTCTATTGCGGTCAACCCCCTTAATAAACGACACCAAATTCTTTTTTGTTTTACCGATTGCAACTGCGAATAATGAAATTTTTAACAGCGAATACAAGAACTGGGTTGCAATTTTTTCACCCGCGAATAAGAAAACCGTGAATAAGGAACTTTTACTGTAGGTAGTAAAATATTACAAACTAAGTATGTATTATCAATTTTATACTTACAATTATAATATTGTAATCATTATCATAAAGGAACAAAAAGCAATTCGAGTTCATAAAAAATGAAGCACCTAGGAATTGGAATTGATATGTAACAAACAATTTTCATTGACACCCTGATAACAATAAATACAATTTAGCTACCATATAAGAAAAATATCTTATCACAACGTTGTACGAACCGTACAAAAATTGATAAATACCCCACTTTATACAAGACTAGTATTAAGTGTATCCAAGCACACAGCGTCATAATGTATGCCTATGAATGAGGACACTAACTTTTCTTCGCGAACCGTTACCTTTGTAACTCGAATGAGTTGTATATCGAACGCCGTGCACGCAATTATTTAAAATGCTATAGTTTGTATCATTACAATTTTGACCTATCTTATTGAAGTTATCGACAACAATAATACTATTCGTTTCACATTCTAAATCATCAATACTTTTACTATCGTCAGTCTCGCTCGAAGTCGTCGAATCGAAACTATTATCGCTACTGCATTCCTTATGAACTTCAGCGTTGACAACGTGGATGTTATTGTCCGTCTTATTTTTGCGTATTTTAACGAAGGTACTCGACAAATGATTATTTTGTGCAGTTGAAAATGAGGTGGTATTGCTTTTACTGTCCGATGTGTTGGCCTCTGGGCTGCTCACATCTTTTTGCGTGGAACTACTGTTATTAAAGCAAGAATCGGATGAATCATGATCATAAACGATTCCATTGCAAACAGGTGTGGTTATAGTATCGTTATTATGATTGATACAATTACGTTTCCTGCTGCAATTAACGACGGTCATACCGTCTGTCTGCTGCTCCTTTTCTGTTGTGGTGGTTATTTCGTGCGTCCAAACAAGAATTACTCAATCGCCCCTGTGAGGTCGTACACGCTGCGGTTCGACATTACCGCGATACAAATATACTTGGAATAAAATCAGCACGTCCACGACAACTTGGATCGAACCACACACCCAAAATTGCAGGGGAGCGTCCCGGAACAGGAAATAGAGTGTTTTAAAAATATCACCACAAGTCCACATCACAACCATCAATATACTAGAATAAATGTTAATATCAGATCGAGTTTGTTTTTTAAGAAATAAAGCCGCCGAGTTGATTTCCGTTACTCAACTTAAAAGAACATTTAATGAGATTAATCAGTTTTCTACATTAAAAGATATTATTTAGTGATAATTTTATCAGATTTCAAAATTAAGTCATAAACTATTATCTACATCAAGCACAAAGTACAAATTAAAATTTGCCTAAATTGACGGAAAAAAAATCTCAAAAACTGGCGTCCAACATGACGCATTTGCTTTGTAAACCTTTATAAGTATCATATCGTCATTACGGGAACAATTTCGAAAAATGACGGGCGTTCCCGGAATGATCATTGCATTCTCAAAATGGTTGTTCAGTTCTCTACTCAAGTATTTAACATATTCTAAGGCTTAAACCTTTATTTTATAAAATCATCAAAAAATATTGGGAATCATTTAAATAAAATTTTTGGAAATATTGTAGGTATTTACAACTTTCTGGGTTTGTACTTTTACTTTAATTACAGAACGTATTCAGGACATTATCGGAAGTGTGGGAGAACTTACGAATAAAAGCAAAAAAAAAAGATTAAAACAACAGGTAAACCGAAGTAGTGCTAAATATTTAAAACAACGCGAAAATGCTAATGCAAGGAAGCGAAAGTTTTTGGATAAAAGGACTCCTTAGCAAAAAGAACTAAAGAAAGCAAAAGACAGAGAATATTATCAAAGAACAAAGGCTGAAAACTATAAAAATATTTTTTTATTCGCGGTAAAATTTAGACAGGTTCATTGCCAATAAATGATACTATTTGTCCAAGAATGCTTAACAGTATTTAACGAGGCTGGTACTGTTAGCCAAAATTTCTAGATGATTAAATTTAAAATAGATTGACTACATATCATTTTTATTATTTACAAAGCAATAATCATCCTTGCATCAATCATCACTCAGAGAACGCTGCCATCATTTTGGGAACGACGTGTCCTTTTCGGGAACGCCAAAAAGAAGTCAAAAAAATTGGGATTTTTTTTTGATAACTCATTAGTCTTATCTTGTTGTCAATTTACTTTATTTGCTTATTATAACATACCTTTCTTTTAAAAGTTTATTTAATCTGATTTTATTATTTTTTAGAAAATGTTCTCGAAATGATGAATATTAATGCCAATATGATTATTAAACAGCAATAAAAATTTAGCTTGGCCCTTTCTATATATCATTAATGAATTATGCCTCTGTAATTGTAAATTATAATTACTTAGTAAGTAGCATTTTTTTTCAAAAATTTCATACGGTAAAATGTTCACCTCTTTGACTTTGACCCATATGCGTTATCCTCCTATCTTTTGAAACTATAGTCATTTGCCACGTAATACAGACAATGTGAAAAGAGATAACCGATAAAGCATTGCAGCAGTTAGAGGTTGCTTAGGTACGCAAAAATCAAGGTGGAAGAATATTAAACTTTCCATGATGACAACATGCTCAAATTCTGTTTATCTGCATCTCTTTCTGTTGCACGTCAGTTGGTATTATGTTATTTCTTTTTCTTTCTTAGTAATCGCTGCAATTCCTATCTGACATCTCTTTTCTATGTTTACGATATTCCTTACAACGTCTGTCGTGAATAAAAGTAGGCGTTCGGTGAGCAACTGCTCTGCACTAGTTAGTAAGTTGAAAAAAAGGAAAGTAAATGCGACAGTTTTATTGCGGATTAAAAAAATCGTTAACTAGTACGATCTTATACAGTTTACACGTTTCCCCCACCTGTCATCTTGAATTCTTGTTTATTGACGATAATTAAGCATGGACAGAGGTAGGGGAGGCAGACTTAGTGCATATGACTAAAAAAATAATTCGAAAACACAATTTCAAAAGAAATCAATATAATAATACAATGAAATAATAATTTTAGGAACTAAGTTTCAGAAATCAAGGTAGTAAACTTCTGCAGCACGTCCGCTTTATTTCACTGCGAGCCGCCACTGTACTTGTACCTTTCATAATTAGTATCTTTGTAGGTATATGACCAAAACCGAAATTTAAAAAATAATTTCAAGTACACCATCTTTACGAAGTAATTCGCAAGAAAATTAAATTTGAATTTGTCACTTGCGGTGCCCGGTGCGTTAAATTTAACACTAGTTTATTAAGCAAACATTAACAAATCTATAAATGTAATTAACGCGGAAAATGTAGGAAACCAACTTGGCTACACCCAAATACGTAAAAATAAATTTTACCTCATACCCTCAGTAGATTTATTCTGATAATTTTTTATCAACTGAGGAGTTCCCAACATAGCCTCCGTAAAAACTGCCAAAAACCCCACCATTTCGACAAAATAAATCCATCTTATTAATACGTACATTAATATGGATGTAATAATTGTAAATACTAACATACAATCAACATACGACTGGAAATCTGACCAATTCCAAAAAAATTTCGGATCGAAGTCTAAAAAAAGGAATTAAAATGTAAACGAGAACGTACACGCATACGTTAATTCCATACTACATGCTGCTACTTAAAAAAAACAGCAATACTAAATCACAACATTGATAACATGTCATAAATTGTGATTAACGATCTTAATAAAAACTTTGCACATATTATAAACGAAAACAAATCCAAATGCCAACTAAAAACAATAAAAATTTACATTAACAGACTTCATCTAATCTAAAACATAAAATGAATACTAACTGAAATAAACTCTCTATGCTTATATGTTAAAAGCAAAGAAACACCAAAATTTTGTATTTCACTATGCATATATACAGGGTGAATCATTTAAATTTAACAAAAATCTCTACTCCGGCAAAACTTTTAACTTGCTTGCTTTCGAAGGAAAAATCAAATGACGACTTGAGTATAACCTTGACCTCGATCTTGAAGTTTTTTTAATGAGAATGCATATCTTTGACCCCAGAAATGGAAAGAGTAGAAAAGTTTGAAATTCTTGATTTTTCAGTTGAAATTTGTAAGAATGAGAGTATGTATTCTAAATTTTAGAAAATTACGTGATCTTCAATTGTCCTCGACGTCCACGGTTACATTCATCATCACTAACTAATTTCTCCTTTGACTAAACCTTCCGAACTAATAAGGATCAATCAATTGTCTTAAGTAAAAGACTGATCTTACATATACTTCATTATTAAATTTTTAGAAATCAAACTACGTATCACTATATTGTGAATTGTGCTTCTTATTAAATTTATGGAATGATAAGTAATTTTCTAATCAAAGAAAGCTAGTATTGTTTATCATTAAGAAATGCGATTCATAATGAGGAATTTAAATCTTGAAATAATTAATTAAACTGAAAATAACAGTAATATTTTTGCCATTTTCGTTAGAAATACGTAGACCATTCCTTTATATTTAAATTTTTTAATTTAATAAGNGAAAGTCAAGAATTTCATTATTGGAAGAATGATTTATCTTGTACTTAATGATTTCCCATAGAGTAATAGGGGATATTATTTATTTATTTTCAATGCAGAATTTTAATTATGATTGACTTTGTAACATTTTAAACATAAATCGCTTCACCTTTACAACTTATTAATCATTAATTTACCATGAGGGAATATGCAAAAAGAAAGCAGTAAAAATAAACTGGTTCAAAAAATTCAAAATTCTAATAAATGCGAAATGTAAGTAAATATTTTTAGATTTGCTTTTGGAAAATATCTAATTTTTGAAAAAATGTTACATAGGTTGACTTGACGGTTACTAACACTCCAGTTTTAGTCTGGAGTCCATTCATAAAAATTAAGTTTTCTCCAGACTCCAGTTCATAAAAAATAATCTTGAATTGGTAACCATACGTAGCTTTATCAAAATAAGAATTATTAAGTTTAATTGTATCTTATAAAATTCTTTAGTCGCAGCAAATACCTACTAGATGGCGATACACATCCTGTACTAGCATATTTTATCAAAATATTGCACTATAAATTTACATTTCATGAGTAAAAGCCTAATCAATGTAAGCAAATCGTTTAAAATAACAGCATCAACTCATGTTATAAATAGAATACGTATAAAGAAATGATATCATGCCAACTTATTGATTTTTCTTCATTAAATACATTAATCAATCAAGCTACATGCAGTTAATTTTTTACCACAGATAGTATGTGAGGAATATGGAGGTTTAGCACGAAGTAATCTAACCACTTCACATGGTTTTGCTGCACACAAAGAAATAATAATTACCACAAAAAAAAGCAATAGATACAAATACATTTTTTTTTTGTTTTGGAAAAGTAATCGAATAATCATATTATGAAGTTAATTGTCTCGAAAACATTGCAATTATTAGAAGATGAATAATAAAGGCGTTAAAAAGCCACCTGCAGTCCATTTACTTCAAGAGTAATATTTAAAATCACCAAAGCAAACATATATGGTTATGGAAAACTATTCTTAAAGATACTTTATTTACCTGTAAATATCCTTTGACGTGCTTGAATTAACTGATTCTTGTTTCTTACTTGAACGCACAAATGAACCATAACAAACATTGTTATATTCATAATAATACTCTGTATTAGTAAGGGATACTCGAAATGTCTACCAAACCTATGTAAAAGAAAAAACACATAAACTTAACGTATTTTAATTGAAATTATAATATTACCAAAACAATATTCGGAGTGTATTAGCTATAAGAAGAGCGAGACAAACATGCAGAGAAAAACCATCGGCATCTTGAGTCTTTTTAATTTGTCTATATTGAGGGATGTATGGTATAACACCACCTATCACCATAGCTCCTGCACTGATCCAGCCTACCACGTTTCCCACTGTGAGAGACAGCTCGTCTGATATAACCCAGTCCATCTTTTTAACTAAAGCTAAATATCATGGATATGCATGTTTTTGCATTTAAATCGCGTCGAGGTACCCGTGTGAAGCGAACTGCTTAAATGTCAACAGAAATGTCAACTTCTATTCACTTCTACTTTTCTTACAGCTGTTCAAAAGTTCAAATATTCTACGGTAATACGGCAACCAACAATACACACGACTGTACCACATACTGCTACTGCTAACGTTGTTTCTATTTTTATAAATACAACAAATTATGTTATTATTATTACTGAGTAACAAAATATATACACGCCTCCCTGCTATATAGTATTAAAAATGTTAAGCATTATTAAAACAAAACTGACTAGTTTTAATCAGGAAAGTAGCCAGCTTTTTTTTACATAGAGCAATGGGTGGACCACACCGTTGATCGTTGTAAATAAATAATAAGCCAGAAATACCTTCAATGAACATGTAAAACTTTAACTATATGCCCAAAACGTCATGAGTTCCTGATAATAATGACATTACGTATACGTCTTTGTAAAAGTGGTTTAGACCCGAATCATAACAGCATCAGTTAATCTACTGGCCGCGAATACCTTTACCCCTTTACCATACAATATTAATAAAATGTAGTAAACTGAAAATTTCAGATACTAAAAATGTTTTGTTCAAAGAAAAGAATATATTAAAGTTGCTTCAAATAGTTTAACTCAAAAATCCACCGGAAGTAATAATTTTTTGTTTAGTCTTGCATACTCGGTCTTGATTTTAATATTGGTCTTGATAGTATAAAGACAGTCTTGATCTGGGTGTTGATCTTGCATTTTCACAAGACCAAAACAAGACTAATTTTGCTCATCGCTAGGTTTTGGAGCACTTTCCAAATTTCCTTTGATTTGGAAAATTGATAGAATCCCACTGAGTGTAGCTACTCCAGGATACTTCCGCGCAAATCCTTTAGCTCATTCAAATTACTGGGGCCCGATACTATCTATGCGATTTTGCTTCAAAGAGCCATGGACGTTATTATCAGCCCCCTCACTAAGCTAGCACATCTTAGTTTAACCTTAGTCCCGAGAGCTTGACAAGGCACGAGGGTGATTTTAGGCCCATGAGCTTCATCTTTTTCTTTTTCAAGACTATATGGAACGATTGGTCGATGGATTAATTCGAAATACAGTCTTAAAGGAGAAAGCACGCATACATTTCTTGTCGCTCCACTGAAACTGACCCTGTTTCGAGTCGTCACCCTAATTAAAAAGCAGTTGGAGGCTAATAAACAATACGCTATGGGCTTGCTCATGAACACTGAAGGAGCTTTCAATCACACTTCGAGGAGGAAGCAGGCCCAGCCTTCTCCCCTCTATAACAGAGTGAATCGACCATATGCTGGTTGTTCCAGGAATCCTCGAGGGGGCTCCTATCGCCCCTCATGTGGTGCTTACTCTTAGACGAGTTATCGGGAAAAAACTTCTAAGCGATAGATTATGCCGATAATATCCTCATTATCGTTCGAGGCCCCTTCCATAACGCCCTTACGAACTTATGCGAAAGGGCAATCGCCTTTGTTCAACGCTAGTGTGCTCATTGTCTTGACAAGAAAATACAAGTGGGATAAAACCTACCCCTTTATGTTGGAGAACAGGTATTCCTGATACAAAACATAGTGAAGTACCTCGGGGTAATTCTGGACACACAACTGTCTTGGAAAGACCACCTGGACTTTATAAAGAAAAAGCTCACAGCCTACTTTTGGCAAATCAGAAAATCCAAAGGGACTAGGGGCTTACACTGACTACCATGAAGCGGATTTTTGAAGTGGTATTGATATCCAAGCTGATATACGCTACGTTGGTCTAGTGGAGCAGGCTGCTCTTTCCACCATTAACAGGTAGCGAGAAAAATTGAAAGGACTGGTGCCTAGGAATATCACCGGAGCAGTATACGCTCATGGCGGCTATGGATATGCTCCTTAGCACTGAACCCTTCAGCAGCTGCAACTAAGGGCCTTCATACTTTATAATATCTATAACATCTACATAAAGGAAGTAAAGTGGGGCTCTTTGAGCTGCTGAAGGATGCAATCACGAGAAAAATTTCTTGAGATACCCCTGACCACACAAAAACCTTCTTTTTCATTGATAAAAAGTACAAGATGAGCCTCTATTCTAAAGAGGACTGGTCTTAGGGAAAAATCTCCATCCCGCGTGAGAGTGACCTATGGTTTATGGATCGGTCTAGAAACAGAAGTAGAAGTGGAATTGGCATTTACAACCGGGAGCAGCCTTTCAGTATCAGTTAGGTAAGTTTGCCAGTCCTTTTCAGGCTGATATAAAAGCCATTGCTTGTTGCGCACTGACTGTAAGAAAAGCTTTCAGAAGATACTCAAATATCGAAACTGTTAGAGAAGCACCACTAAACCCTCGACTATCGATGCAAAACAAGATAGTCTTGCTCTGAGCCCCGGGCCATAGCTGCACAAACGAGTCGTAGACGATCTTACCAAAGAATTTGCTGGGGGTATCTACAGCAACCTTATCAAACGAAATTGCGAGACGGAACTCTACAGAGACTGGGGAATACAACAAGGATGCAGGCAGGTGTAGGCCTTCGTCTCCCCTACAAAGTGTAGGGAGTGGGAAAAGAACTGCACTACTACGGAACAAACTGGGAATAACCGCCAGTTCTTTCTGTCGCTTCTGCGAAGAGGAAGTGAAAATTTCTATTTACATCCTCTGGCACTGCCCTGTGCTAGCTGAGCGTAGACGCCGTATCTTTGATTGTCTGCAAGCTAAAGATGTTACCACACAGGACGCTCCTAGAATACTCGCCAATTTCAAACTCAATTCGGAATTACTTGTAGGAACCTTATTAGGCCGTAGGAATAAATGCGGCAATACTGAACTTGTTTCTAATTCTGAATCTGTGCTAATTTGGAACAGAACGAGAACTTGGAATAGAACAAGTTCCTAGTAGAGTCCCTGAAAATGCAGTATGACTACTACTGTTGATTTGTTCGATCTGTTTCTGCCATAGTAACGTTAATAATGCATATTCTACTTTTCATTTCATTCTCATTTTTAACATAAAAGTATTGGGATCCGTCAAAAATGAGGAGCCTAAAAACATGGCGCCGATTAGGGAAAATTTATCGTAGTTCCCATAGTGTACCGTGCAATTTCCAAGTTTTTAAATTACGATAAAATGATAAGTATTGACACAATATGTGATTGGGCTGACACAAAGCTTCGGAAAGGAAATTTCGTTGAAGGTGAGCGTGTTTTTAATGCCAATCACATTATAAAATTCGGAAATAACAAATCCGGAAGCTAGCCTTCAAATTCCGTCAAGTTTACTGCCTACTTTTTACAAACTTCGGATTTAAAAAGTGATTCACGTTATATAATTGGTGAGGTGATTCTGGGTGATTTAAGCAATATCATATCAATGACTTGCACGTGCAAAGCCGATTTAAGAGAACGTTGCAAACACATTATTGCAACTTTGTTGTATTGCAGCAGGTAGGTTCTTAACCTCAAAATACTTATATCGTATCATTAGAATTGTGTTAAATCAATTACACAGGAATAAATAATTTCTCACTTTATAATTTTAGTATGATTCTAGTTTTAAATATTAAGGTTATGGCTGATGGTAAATACTTGCTGAAATATAATCATGTGCATTAAAATGACGTGAACAAATTTTTATTCCGGAATTCACTTCTTTGATACCTACTGCTTTCATCCAAGCTTCTATTAGTTTACTTTTTTCTCTAATTTTCCGAATATATTTTTTACATATATAAAACGGTTAGTTTTTATTGGAATGTAGTTAATGTAGGTGAAGAGTGAAGATCTATCTCTGAAGTGCTTTTGCAGCTTTTCACTGGACATATTAACTTTTTATTTGATCTAACTTTAGAAGAAAACTTCGTCGACTCCATCATCAAAATTTTTTTTACTTTTTTAACGTGTTTTATTATTTTAATAAACAATTTTACAATTTGTGTGCACAGTTCCTATGTAAATTTTTCCCTCATTCGAGTTACAAATTTTGCCACGAGATGGTGTATGCCCAATTGCTTAATGAATTTTTAGTATCAAGTGTGTATCTAGACGGCGATCTTGAATTCTCAGCGATCGGAGCGCTCTCTTCTGAGCGGTTTTTACTTATGGCTTTCACATACATGAAGATTCGACTCCTTTCTATAATCTTCATGGGTCAGCCCATAGATATAGAGAATGGACTGTGTTTCTCTGTCTACCTATAATGTAAATACAGGTAGAAACGTGTGAAGAGACAAAGCGATCGTGCAGCCACTTTACAGTCTTGCAGAAACGGAAGAATGAGGTAAAGAGACAGGTATTGGCTGCATGGTCGATTCTTTCTTTCTAGAGAGTGGTCAATTTCATAGGGATACTGCTCATTCTGTTCTCTATATCCGTGGGCGAGCAGGGCAAGAAACCAACCACAGAATTGTTAAATAAAATCTAATCGATCTAATCTATGAGTATCTATGGTCAGAAATCTGCAATCTACTACCGTAGAAATGCTAAAAAAGTGCTGTCAGAAACTATGGTTGGTTAGAAACATCGACATTTAGTAATAGACATGCCTTAGCGGTCAGAATTGTGGTACAACAAAATAAAGAGAGAATGAGGTTTCGGACAATATCCATCTCTCTCACAATAGTGTGTGAGTGTGTCATGAAGGAGATAACACTAGTCCGAAACCAAATCTTCCTCCCTTTTCGAGCCAAGAAATTATTACAACGACATACGGGTAAGGCACGTCCATTAATATATGTCTATGGTTAGAAAGATATTATCTATGAAGATATGTGTGAAAGGTTAAATTAAAATATGGATAAAATAATTTTTAAACACTAAGCGTACTATTGTTTACACAATTTAAAATTAATATGTTGTCTACTTTAAGAGAGTCATGTTTGTAAAAGCTTTAGTGACCGTAATACGCCGTAGAAAAACAATTCTGTTAGATTTAAGGCCATGTTTATATCAGTCGGTATATAAATATCAAAAAGATTCTAAAAATAATGCTGTAACCAAGTTTAAAAACGTTGAAGTGGGCACAAATGTGAAACCTTTAGGAGAAAAAGTAAAAGAAACAACAAAAACAGCATCTTATGTGGGAATAATATTGCTGGGCATTGGGGTTACAGGGACACTTTTTTATGCAGTTTTTAGTGAACTTTTTTCAAGCAAAAGTCCAAATAATGTTTACACGAAAGCAGCTAAAAGATGTACCGATGACCCACGAATTCAGGATAAATTAGGTTTGCCCATAACATCATATGGTGAAGAAACACGAAGAGGAAGACGGCAGCATGTAAATTACTTAAAATTTAAAAGAGGAGATATTGGTTTTTTAAGGATGCGATTTTATTTACAAGGAGCATTCAATAAAGCAACTGTTCATCTAGAAATGCAAGAAGTAAATAAAAGTAAGGCAAGTACAAGTTTAATGATATAAATAACTTTTAATAATTTATAGAATGCATCAGGAAACTATGAATATCGATATCTTATCGTAGAAGTAAATGACATGTTTAATACCACTATTGTGTTAGAAGATAATCGTCAGGTTAATATTCCTTCAAATTCTTCTGAATTGTTACTTAACTAATGTTATGGGATAAGCACAAATACAGTAGAGAAGTTGTCAATATAATGAACATATTTTGAAGTAATGTTAGAAATCTTGAGTACAGTGTGTGTTACGAACAATAGTTTAATTTATGGTTAATGATTAAGTAAAGTGTTTTGTAAATATTGCCAACATTCATTTTTTTTAATCAGTTATTTTGTCAAGAAAATTTTCTGAAACAAAAATATGTAAATAAATAAATAAACAAATAAAAGTTAAGGTAAGCAAGGGATAAGTACTAAGAAAATTGTTACAAGGATCAATTAAATGAAAACAAATTAATTGTACTCTGGTTTTATTTCATAAAATAAAAATACCCTTTTATCAAACACATATTTCTTAATTCTGCTAATAATATAATTAACGAGAATATATAATACAATAAATTGCATTAATGCAGAAATTCCGCTTTGCGTGAAATTTGGTTTGTAGTGTACAGTATGTTGCGGGATGCGCATTTTCAAATTAAATGTCAAGTATCTTTGTCTTCCATACTTATAAGTTGTATGTAAACTCTTAAACACAGTCGTTACTAAAATAGAATGTATCATATAAATTAGTTATTTATTATCATGCACCTAAGGATCCTTTAGTAGGGGATGGCTTCAAAGCAAGCAACGATATTGATAGGAAAAGAAGTAAAATCGCATTTTTTTATAAATGTTTAAATATTAATTTGGAATTACGTCAACGTATAGTTACCTACTATGTCAGTTATTACCATATCATATATTAGCGATCAGCCAACCATAAAGAGCAATAAGTTATTGATTTACCGAAACCTTTTATTCTCATCAGCACGCCATAGGCAGTTTTGATAAATCACTGACCAAGTCGTAAAAGCAAGTTTATATATTATCAATAAGTTATTAGTAATGCATTGGGCCAAAATAGCAATCGCAATCTGTAGGCATACTCGTTACATTATCCCGTACTGCAGGATCCCTAGTATGATGCATCTGCTTACAATTTTTGACTGTGTGGTATTCTAAAAGATCCTGGGGTTTATAAAACGGTAATTGTTTCGGGCTTGTAATGATGGAGGGCTCTGCAATCGTTTTTAAAAATCTGGAGCAATGCACAACTACTAATTGTGAAAATTGTAAAATACCATAAGCATTAACTTCATAGGCATTTTCTATAATTGGATGTTCAATGGTTATTATGCTGTCCATATTTACGGTACAAGTTCCCTAAAAATACAAAACAGAAAATGTTTAACTCACCTTTATTTCTTTCATAAAAATAATTATTATTTACCTGCAGTTCGTAATTAAAACTTAAAATTAAGAGTACAGAGTTAATCTTCAACTCTTCCAATAAAACGTGTGTGGTAAACTCAAATAAATCTATTTGACCATCATCATCAACGTCGACTTCTTTGGCCTGTTACCAATATGTTATTACTCAATGTATTCTATATCTACACTAGTTGAGACTTGTAGTTGTACTCTTTGCCAGTGGTGTAAGCACTTTCTACTTGAGTTTCGCCGATATTTTCGTAAAGCATGTGTATGCAAACGACTGTACACCCGAATTTAATGGTTACAATGTGATTAGAATTTGTGCGTATGCAACCAATCAAACACATTTTTAATCCCGTTTACTTTCCCAACTGTTTATTTTTATCTCAAATATATTAAAATTACCAAATTTTAAATAAAAATTCTGATTAAACGAAAATACCTCGGATTTCGAAAATGGGCCTATCTTTTACTTTTGTCTTTTATGTAAACGTTTTGATATTCAGCTAGTTCTAGGATAGTATATTCTGAGAGGAGATATATTTCCGTGGTACGAAAAATTAATTTTTGCCGTAAGCAATTGTACATATCTTTTAAACCGTTTGAGAAAATCGGACAAAGTTTTCAGTATAGCGTGGTCTTCAACCGTATAAATCGATAGATTCCTTTTAATTTGACGCATCTTTTACCGTTTTTAGACAATTTTTAAAAGAAATGTTAAATTTTCGACAGTTTTGTCCACGGCCAACTGAGATATTGACATACACAGACAAACCTACCCTAGCACATTATTATGTATGATAGTACCGTCGTATATATACGTTTTCGCTATACCTAATCATAAATTATTCACCTTAATATAAGAGCAAGTATCCCATGAATCCTTATCGTATTTTGTTAAAAACGGAAAATTGCTACAAAATATTGGATGACTAGAATTACTTGTAGATGCCTGGAAATGATAATAGCCCTGAAACTTAACTGAAGGTTGTTTATTTACAACAATTGTCTTGCTCCAAATTTCTGAAACATACAAAAAAGGGATTTTTTTTAAAGTTAAAAATATTGTTAGTAGGTACTTATACGTACCATCGTTGTAGTACACAGTTAGTAGAGGAACAATAATAGAAATAACTTTCGTTAGAAGAATAAAGAAATTTGCTTTAGAACAAAATTTATTTTTATATTTTATCTTAAGACATTGAGAATGCAACTCACGAAGAGCCATTTTTAACCCTACTTGACAACATTAATTTTTTGTTGGTATACATCACATTTTCGTTTCCTTGGCAACTATTATTTAGTGCGAAAATTTAATATGTGAGCAGTAAAGCGTTATTAAGCTCCATAAAATATAACAAAACAAAACAAGAGCGATCGATTTAACTTTTGAAAGACTAGGCTTTTATAAAATTTCATTCAACTTTATTATATAGGTATATACAGTAAAAGCTCTTTATGCGCGGGGTATACGTTCCATAAATATGCCGCGAATACAGAAACCGTGGATATGGAATGGTAATTAGTATGGAATCATAGGGGATACGTTCCAAAATAAAACCAATATGTATCTAAATAAAATCAATGTGTTGATAAATTCGCAATTAAAATTAATCGTTGTAATTAGCTTTAGGCAAGAGTTTAAAAAATTTAGTGATTTCGTCTTGTTTTGAATTTTGAAATTAGTCCACTCGGTTACATCTTTTATAAAATTCGCTTCGGCACGAGCCAACAGTACTCACTGATGCGTTGAAAAATAACACCGAATCCTTTTCTACTCGGTTAGATTTTTTATAAAAGCTGCTTCGGTACGTACCAACTGTACATACTCAAAAGATGCCGTTAGACTCAGTAGTACACGCGCCATAGGGTAAAAAAATGCTTATCGGTTCTAGATATCAAAAGTTTAATATTTGGAACAGAGGTTTGAAATTTTGTAGTAAGATAGATAAAGCTTTGTTCTAAAGCCTGTCGAAGGCTATTTTTTAATTTCTATTGAAAATACGGGTCCTACAAGAAGCATCAATTTTAAGCACCTGTAAAAGCTTTTAATG